ACCCTAATGTGGAGAACTACCCACATGTGTGCATAAAAAAGCGTATCTAGAGACAAAAAGCATCTTGCTGAAGGCAGTGGCGCCTCATAAAGCAGACTATCGGTTAAGCGTTTAGCGTTTATAGGGGTTTAGGNNTTGGGGGTTTCGGGTTTAGGGTTCGGATCTTGCTAAGTACAACACGGCACCATTGAGTATCCTGGCGGGACTGCTGCGGTATCCACTTGGCCTGACTGGCCTGCATTTGCGTCGAGCCTTGTTGGCCTGAACAGAAGTGTGATGCTTTATGCAGTGAATTGGTTGCTCTGGCCATTTCTCGATGATAGAAGCTGCGAAACGCTGTGGGAGGGCCAAGGCTTCTCCAATCTATAGTATCGGCCAACCAACAGATGTCAAGTGCCTGTCGCGTGCACTGTTATGTTCAAGTTGTGTTCCACAGCTAACTTAGCAAAGCTTCGCTCCTGTGCGATTGTATCATTGCTGTCTCATGTTCTGTACGCGGCGAGGGACTGAAACTATTCCGAAGGCATCGCGTATGCGGAGTTGAGAACTCAATCGGAAATTTCGTCGACAACTCTCAAGCACTCGGCGCTAGAGGCATTAGCAGCCGTTTCCATGCATGGGCGGGTATTGGGGGTTACGAGGACGGACTGCAAGGAAGTCAAGGCAGCCCGTTCGGACACCTCCTCTAGGCTTAGGGAGTGCAGATGGCAGCCATAGTAAGTACACCCAAATCTGGAGTCATTATGTGTGTAGAGAACGAGGACAATATACATGTAGGCACCTGTTTGCAGCCGACTATAACCTCCCTTAACCAACCCTAAACCCTAAAGCCTAAGATCATAGACCCTAAGGATCCTAACATGAATCTTAACCAATACTTATATAACCCCAGGATGCGCTGGAACCTCTTGATTGGCATCCCCGACTTCCTTTTCCTGGTGGGTGACGCGGTCCTGAGGTTTGGATTTTTAGGGTTTAGGGTGCTGTTGTTTGGGACCCTCACCAATTTTCGCCCGAACAGGCACTAGCCTCGCAACTGCTAGTTGCTGTTAATTACTGCCAGTGCTGCAGCTCGGCCTCTTGCTCCAGCCTGCTTGCTTATGCCATTCTGACACATGTTGCGTCTCCTAGATGCAGTGACGCAGATGTCCCGCACTATAGCTAGTTGCAGAAAGGCGTCGCGGATCCCTGCCAAGCCGCGGCGTGTTTTCTAAGGACCCGAAGCCGTTTCCTGACATACTTTCCTACTACGTCAAAAACGAAGCCGATCGCCAGGAGGTACAAATGCCAAGAGTCTTCCCAAGTCATTCTGTAGTACTCAGGGCTCAAAAGATTTGTGAGAAGAAAAGTCGGTGCCTTCTCAATCTAGGCTCGAACCTCAATTTCACCAATAGCAGTGTCCGGGTCCAATACTTCTGGTATTGTCTGGGTAGTACTAGTGGTAGTATTTCGTCGTCGTCGTCGTAGTAGTAG